ATCTGTTGTCAAATATTATTACGCCATATTGTAAAATGTTGTGGGAACAAACCGGATATTATGTATAGTCATTATTTTAGTCATAACATAGTATTGTCGTTATTAATGTTAAGAAAATGTATGCAAATTATTTCAGCTTTGTCCACTAGAACCACCTTTCGAAAAATAATTTGACTTGTTTGGGAAAAAATCCCCTAATGTTGCTTCGTCTTGAAACTGAGAAAACAATTCAAGACGATTTCAATCTAAAGAGAAAACAATTCGAAGTTTTTTTGTTTTTTGGTGAGTACTTTGTCTTGTCCAATAATATGAGTTTAGTGGCGATTTCAATCTACAATACAATCACAAACATTTCAATCTTGAATTAAATACTATTGAGCCAAGCCCAAGCCCATATCCAAAAAGACAATTCGAAATACAGAGTAAATATGACATCAGCGTGACTACGTTAATTAGATGATAAATAATACTTTTTGATGACTAATCCTTTTACTTTCTTGCCCTTGGTCATCTTTTCCACGATAAATCGAGTAAAAAATAGATAAATGATTTGTTTTTGTTAGTCAAACTCAAATCTATTAAATAAATACTAAGATTAAAAAATTGAGAACCTTTAGATTGAAGTAGTTAATTACCGGCCTTTTAATAAGCTAGCCTAATACAAATGACACATGTTATATTAACTTGTTTAATATTAATTTCTCTAAGCTCATTCACATGATCTTTACCTGACAATTAATTAATTTAATACTATAACCAAGCTTACAACTTAAATTTCATTAATTTTTTTGGATCTATGTTACATTAAACATCAAACTACTTAATCATTCTCTCATAAGTTAAGAGGTAAGAAAGAGTAAATTTGTCTTTTTTTTAAAAAATCTCCATCACTAAGAATCTAAGATCTCATTCTCAATAAATAAATTATTCTCTTCGAAACCCTATATTAATTTGATATGATATAAGTATAATAACCAATCTAATTACAAATCATTAAAATTAAGAAAGGGTAAATTTGTCTTTTTTAATAAAAAAATCTCCACCACTCACTCTCAATAAATAAATTATCCCCTTCGAAACCCTAAATTCCACCGAAAAAGAAAAAATCTTTCCTTTTATGGCGATAATGAACA